GGGTCTTCCATACGGTCTCTCACAGGTGCTTACTGGTTTTGGTGGTTGCTGGTTTCGGTGGTGACTGGTTTCAGTGGTTACTGGTTTTGGTGGTTACTGGTTCCTCAGCTTCTCTCTCTGAGGACAGTGTCTGCATGTGCTAAGCAGTTCACAGATGGTCTGAATCTGACCATATCAGCCTATGAGCTGAATGTTTGTGCCACTTCTTAGACACTCATCTCTAGCAAAGATCCTTGCATGATATTTTGGTTGGGAATTAAAAATAAAATTAAATAAAAAAGAAAGTAGCCTGTCTCATTAAACTTTCCCAAAGAAACAATAAAGAGGCATCTAATCCTCTTGGTGTTCTGAAACAAATCCTGTTTTAATTTGTGGTTAGTTACATAAATGTTTCAGGAGCAGTCCTTGATTCATTGTCCTGTTATCCCAAGAGAAGTCAAGTCCCAGAGAGATATGATGAAGGGCAGAAGGATGGGACCATGCAAAAGGTCTTGATGGTGGTCAGGAAAATGCTAATTTGACTCAGCCTTGGTCTGCCACATCAGTAGCTTGAAAACCTCATCTTGCCTGCTCAAACTGAGTATATTTGATATTAAATCAATGAGACACAATAAAAATTCCCTTGAAGGAGTTTTCTGTATTTACACTCCTCAGAGCTGGTCTGGTTTTATATGATGCTTATTTTCTGATTACCAGTGGTTCTGGCTGTGGACAGAGCTCCAACCAGCAGCCAAGGGGGATTTGCAAGGAGCTCTGAGTCTGTGATATGATGATACARTGTTTGGCTTTGCTTTTCAGCCAGACATTCTGTCCATGGCTCACGTGCGATGCCTCACGCCCTCCCCTGCTCTTCTATTCACATCTGCAATGTCTTTAATAATGATAATATCKGGAAACTTCACCAGTATTGTGAACTTTTTCAGGTATGTGTGTGTAGGGTTTCCATTCGTATTCCCTGTGCTCCTGGGTTTTACATTGTTTGTAAGGATTTGCAATATCTTTTCGAGCCTGGGCTATTTCTAACCAATATTGGGGAGGGTAGGAGAGAAGAAAAAAAAGGACTTGGGAACCAGCACCTTTGCAATGCATGRATGCTCCTGTCACTATAAACTTAAATGAATGTGATTCATCCTCATTGAAATGAATCTGGAATGTTCAGATAATTCTAAATTTTTCATTATTTGTGTTAGAAAGGAAATAAATGGAAGAACTACTAAATTTATACAAATATTCACCATTTTAATTGGAGATGTGAACACCCAGGATCTGCAATGCAGGCCTGGCATTCCTGGATTATCTCACCCAAGTTTAATGCTGTCTAATTTTTTTTCTTTTCTTCCAGTTTTATTGCATGGCTTTTCTATGGCATAACTATTTCTGGGCTCCTGTATTTGAAAATCAAGAAACCAGAACTGCCAAGATCTTACAAGGTAAAGTAATGACATAAATCCTTCAAATATTTTCCTATATTGTTCAAATGACTAAGAGAACATTAAGAGAAAAGAGTGAGCACTGGTGGCTTACAGATTGTGGTTGTCCTTCATTAATAATTTTTCAAGTTTTGTCTCAGCAAAGTCTACAACGGGTGAGATAGTCAAGGTTCAATTCTCTGTCTTGATAAGCTAAAATGCCCTGACTCCTCATTTTGAAAAATACATCTACCATATCCTCTTTTTTTTTCTAATAGATTTAAGTGGTAAATGAAGGAAGATTCTGATCAACAATATAGTCCCCTGTCTGTGCTTGCAGACCTTGGATAAACTGCTTGGAGGGTAGCCCAGGCGTAATAGTCTTGCAGACCAATAAATAACTCAGGTGGAGCGCCCCAAGTCCTTTGAGATGACCAGGGGACAGGTTTGTTTCCAACAAAATAGCWAAGAGGAAGGACATCAGGAGTCACRTGTTCTTCTCCTGATGCCATGAATGAGCTGTTCTGCAGTGTTTCCTCAGTGACTGAGGATTATCAGCAAATGCACAAGCCTCTCTCCTTTATGGAAGGGTGGCTTCAAATTGAAGTTTAAATGCYTTCTGACCAGGCTTACAGAAATTGYTTCTGAGATTGCCTGTGCACATGTCTGTCAACAGGTGGATAAACCTTTCAGTGCAAGGGTGCAAAGCTGATTTGCATACAATTGTTCTGTGTTTTGTCTACAGCTTGGCTTTTAGATACCAGGTAGTTGGGAGAGCAAGAACAGACCTGGTGTTAAACCCAGTAGTTTGCATCTTCAGGTCTAGAAGAGCAGGCAAGACCAGGGATTAGGGKGTAGATCTTGCAGAGATGTTCAGCCTAGGAGTGGGGGTAGCCTGGGAAACACTGTGTCTGGATTAATTATATTTCCAGGTAATATCTCAGGTTGCAGAAAGGTTTCATCTAAAAAAGCTTCTGCAGAAGTTCCACCCGCCGTGGCCCAGAATTACATGAGTCTTTATGCTGKTGTTTTGCTTTCACAGGTCCCAATTATCATCCCCATAATCGTGCTGATGGCAGCTGTGTACCTGGTGTTAGCTCCCATCATTGATCAACCCCAAATGGAGATCCTCTACATCGTCCTGTTCATTTTCAGTGGTGTTGTTTTTTATTTCYCACTGGTTCGCTTCAAGTACCACCCTCGCTTTTTGCAGAAAGTCACTTTACACCTCCAGTTGTTGCTGGAAGTTGCTCCARCTACCAAGGATGCAAACTGAGATAACATCCTCCCTTCCCATGGCTGCCTACACCTCATGGTTTATCCCAACACCTTGGTTTTCAAGGCTCACAAAAGATTCTCTGTAAAGAGGAATGAGTAGAACGAGAGTGACACTAAGTGTCCAGGTGTAATGGACTACAGACATGACTCCTCATGTTTCCTTAAAATTCTGGGGACATGTTTTTCTCCTTTTCAGCTCTGCTTTGGCAAATTCCATACAKATTCCAAAGGAATATGTCCTTTTGTATTTTTCATCCCAAGAAGGGCTATTTGTCAAAATCTCAGATATTATTTTTCAAGGCAAAAGGCAGCAAAAGATAGACAGTTAAATACTATTCTTCTACGGCCTGGGTCCCTAAGCCATTCCTGGCAATGCCTTTAATTATTTCCACCTAGTTCTGCCCACTGTGACTGTAGAGCATCTCAAATCAATAAAGTAAGGGCTCACCATACCCACAACAATACAACTCTGGTATTCACTCTGGAAAGACCTTGCTTGTTCCAGTCCCAGGTGCACAGTCACAACAGTCCTTTCTCTGTCTCAAAAATCATCCCACATCTCCCACAGAGAAACCACTGACACAAGACAAGAAGTACTTTAAAACTCTGTCAATTTACTTGATTAAGAGTGCAGTTGTCATCTGGGATCCATCCATTCATGAGGACACAGCAGCATCACTCAAATGCCACCATTCACCTAATATGTTTCCCATAATTCCCCTGAAGACAACTGACTTCTTTTGTGACAAAGTAAGAAAAAAAACCCCRAACAACCCAACCAAAAACTCTGGAGCATATGTGCCAGCAAGACACTCTGCCTAGGAATTAAAGAAACCACATACTGGGCTACATTAGGAGAAGTGTGGCYGGCAGATGAAGGAAATACTCTGTCTCTTTGGACTCAACACCTGAAATCCCKCATCCAGTGTTGGGCCCTGGTGTTCAAGACGGAGTTGTGAAGACCACAGAGCCAGTTGYCCTAATAGCAACTCAGAGTAACAGCCACAAACTGTGGCTTGAGATGTGCAGGCTGGACTTAGGGAAAAATTCTTCACCATGAGGAGCAGTGTGCAGGAAGGTAGTGAAATCTCAGTTCTCTTACATTTTCCACCACAACCATTTCCACCATATGATTCTAAAGGCACAGCAAAGAAGTCACGGGCTGTGCTCTCACCCACACCTAATACACWGAAGTCACTGTTGTTTCCCATTATCTTGAGGCTCAACTGTTTTCTTCCTGTTTTAGGGGACAGAGCGGTGCTATGTGCTGCTTTCTTCCATTTTCTGGATTGTTCCGGGATGAGATCTGTCCTGTCATAGGCTAAAAAGGTCTAGGAGTTAGTCCCTAAGATGCCTTGTTAGATCTGAAAGTACTAAGAGTTATTCAGGTCAACTTTTTGTCAGCATTCTTCTACAGAACCTGCTGCAGTTCTGCTACCTTTTACCWAACCTGCTACAATCCTAGAATAGGGTCACTTGATCCTTCATGCCTCTTCCAGCCCATCTCAGAGCTGTGCATCKGATTACAATCTCATTCTTCAATGCCACCCCTTCTGTTCCTCTGAGTGGTGCAGAGATGCACCAAGAGTCTGTTTTCCCAAGTATTAGGTATGATTAAGGGATAGGCCAGTTGTCACTCATCCAAATCCTTAGCTTTAACAGTGTTTAGGAGGATTTCCTTCCACTGATTTTTACTGGAGTTGCCAACAAAGGTCAATGAAGGAATAGTTTTTCCTCCTGAATCCCTTGACAATGTAAAATTCTYGAGATACCTTCTTTAAAGGACTGATGAGGTCAGGAGCTCTTGGTTACCTTCCCCCCACTGCCCAGGCTCTTAATCTGGTGTCAAGGAAAGGTCTTAAAAGASCTGCATCTCAGCTACTTACCTAAAAATTAGAATAATACAATTTCTCTGACTATCAGTTTTTGGAAACAAGCTCTGTTTCCTACACCTGTTTGTGAAGCCTACCACATGGTAGGCTGTGCTCTAATAAAGAAAACAAAAAGACTTAGCACTTTTAATAAATAGACTTTTTATATTACTGGTTTGTGTATGGGTATAGGGGAGCTGGAAAGCTGCAATTATCATACTCTGCGCCAATCTCATTTTCTATAGATATTATTGTAATAAGATTTTTTTTTATTATTGCCTAGGATTTGCAGGTGTTTATCATGCCAAAACATGATGCTGAAAGCTCAGAGAATTGCAAGATAATTGCAATAAAATGGGCATTACAATGAAGTGAGTTAATGTGTCTGTTTCTGTTTTTCATCCAAGAAAAACAATTCCACAGAAATTTTACTGCACGATCATAAACAATCAGCATTAGACTTATCTCTCCTCGGTCAGAAGGTTTAACAACATGCGTGGGTGCTTATGTGCGCGTACACTCATTTTTCAAAATGATTGCTTATCTACTCAACCCCAGCATATGTAAATTGGAATCTCTTTTTCCTTCATGAGACATTTACAATGCAAGTGCCAGCAAGAGGAGGCAGCACATCTTTATCATTCCTTCCTGCAGCACAGTGACAACGTGACGGTGGACAGAGCTCTGTAGCTGCTGCTTGGGCAGGTTGTACTATGAGATCTTATTGGTCCTGTCTGTTTCCAAAACTCCAGGTCCCTGTGACCTGTGCTTAGCTCCTTTCTTCATGGGCKAAGAGGAAAAATGGACTATCAACATTAACCTCAAGATAAACATAAGRTCTGTACTTCAGCTCAAGACCCTGAGTATAATTGAATCTCTGCAGCAACCAGTTGGGAGTTTTACCTTGGTGCACAAAGCTGAATGTATTCTGGGCTTTTTCCTGATTTCTTCAGGATCATCAGAGGTGGGCTACACATGGGGATAGTAAAGGACTGTACATTGTGTGAGAGAATACAGAAAATCCTCCTTCGGTGGTTTTCTAGTCAGACATRCTTACATGCCCAAGTTCAAGCAGTTGCTGTGATTTGTGGTTGAGGACAAAATTTCTGCTTGGGTGGGACAGAACAGAATTCATGGTGACTTTAATTTTCCTCTGTTCAAGAAACACAGTTCAGCCACTTAGATTGACTGGGTGTATCTGAACAGTTCTCAGCCAGTGCAGAGGGTTTGGTGTTTAGTCTCTCCTGCATTCCTGGGACACAGGAAACAAACAAGGCCTCACTGGACCCTCTTAGCAGTGTTGACTTGCTCTCCAGGTAATCACATTGAGGGGATTGTAGACCTCTTTTCAGAGATGAAATAAATACAGTCATCTCTGGGAATCACAGACCATTCCAATCTAGGCTGGAATGGACCCCTGGAGGTCTCTTATCCAACTTCCTTCTTGAAGCAGGACTATTATCATCCTAAAGTAGATTACTTGTGCCTCTGTCTCTTCATGTTTTGGAAAACAYTGAGGATGGAGAGCCCACCATTTCTCTGCACTGCTTTCTGGAAAAAGAAATTTTGCTGTAGCTCAATCTTAACATCTCAAGCTGTAGCTTGTGRCTGTTGCCCTTCCCTGTATCATCTTCTCCTAACAAAGAGGTTGGCTCCATCATTTTTTAAACTTTCTTTCATGGAGCCATAGGTTGCTGTTATGTTGCCTCTTCTTTTTGCCAGACTCAATAAGCCCAACTCAACAAGCTTCTTCAGGTAGGCAAAGTGCTCTGGACTTCTGTCTTGGTACTTTTTGCTGAACTCTCCMCAGTTTCTCTGCTTTCCTTTTGAACTGGGAAGAGGTCAGAAAATTGAATGTGTGCACCAGTCACTTGTAAGAGCTTCAGCTGACTTAGTTGAAAGCAAGGGAAAGCCCTTATTTTGTACAGTTGGTGCTCTTATTAGAAACTTCATCTAGGCTGTGATAAATCCAGCATTAGGATGACTCAGTCTAAGCAGTGCAGGGGGATCTACATCTTGCMCTTTACCATTTATTGATTAGTTAGTTGGATACTGTCAGGGTCTTATTGTATGTGACTCATTCCTCATGAAGGAGTGATTTTTGCTAAAAAAGGTTGCACACCACGTGGGYGGTCTTAGGTGTGTGAACTAGCAGTGAGATTAATGGGTAGTGAAATAACCCATCTGTTTTTAGAATTGAGCTACCATGTCATGTGTGTCCTCAGAGAGAGTGAGCCCTATGGCTTGAGTGTCTGGCAGATAAATGATCATCTTTTCCTTCTAAAGGCTGGTCATCACTTCTTATTGTTTAATTTCATGGACCATGCCCTGGTTTCCAAGCGGTGACATGAAAGACAGCAGGGAAAATGAGAAGTAGCTTGAAAGAGAATTCCTGTCCATGCAAGTTTTGGCTTGTCTGAATTACCTATGTAAAAACAAGCCAATTTTACCTATGTAAAATCCAGACATGGACAACACCCAAACAACAAAGACATGTGTCCAGCAGTTCTGAAATGACAGTTTTGTTTGGTTTTTTTTTTTTTTTTTTTGCTAAATAGTAATTAATTTCCTTTCTGTTTGTACATTCTAGGCCTATTCTTCAGATCACAATCTGTTTTCSCCACRGCATGTCTGTGTCATTAACAAAGCAGAGCAACAGTTCAGTGTTTTGCCTTTTTTCATTGCTCAGACTGTGGTTGCCAAACTTCATCAACAGGTCATGATTCCTTTGAAGGGATGGCACCAGAATGCAAACAGATTTCCAGCAGAAGGTAKGACCCCTGGCACAAGGGGCACCACCACAGCCCCACCCAGTTCCTGAATTCCTAGGAGCCCAGAGCTGCCCCCAGGATCTCTCAGAGTATTGGTCCTGCTGTCTTTCTCCTTTGCTGTGGCCTTACTCCAGGGCTCTGAGTGCTCAGCTTTCCACTGACATCCCACCCTGTTTTAAAGTGGGTTAATGACACCTTGGTCTGGCTGAGCTGTTATTAAGCTTAGTTCATTCATATTTTCAAATAAAAGGAAATAATCTCATCTCACGGAAGAGGGAGCAGGAGGATCAAACAATGCCAATAGTCTTCTTTCTCCCTAGGCCAAACCCTCCCTCTTACCTATACTTTTACAATCTTTAAAAGTGTGCAGGGCCTGCAGAAAATATGGAGGGTTTTGTTCTGGGTGAAGGGCCACTCTGGTAATTTGGAGGGCCACCAGCTAAGCCACCCTTTTGGTGTCCTTGGATGGCTCCCAGTCCACTGGGGCTATGTGGGCACTCTGCAGGAAAGGRCCATGCTTCATGCACAGCAAGAAAATGCAGAGGAGCTTGGATCTATTTGAGCTGCAAACTATCCCAAGGCCCWGGGACCCTGGGATCCCCAAAACCTGCAGAGAGCTTCACCCCTTGGAGCAAGAAGAAAAGCTTGGACCAGATCCAATCCTACCAGGATTCTCATGCACCAGGCACAAGCATGTCCATGGGTAAAGGAGCAGATGGTCACTTTTCATTCCCTTGGAGCCACCTGGACTTCAGGCCACYGTGGAAGGAGAAATGATCCTTAAAAATTCCCTGCAGTCTCTACCAGCTTCCCAAAGGGTCCTCTCATCCCATGTCCCCCAGCACCAAATCTTTCTACTCCTCCTGCTCTGAGGACTGTGCTGCCAACCTGCCCAGCAACCCCCAGCCTGGTTTTCCAGGTTTTCTCATTTAGTTTACTTTGTGCCAAAAGTAGCATTCCTCAGATTTACAATGCAAAATAYCTCTCAGACAGCACCAAACTTTACTCAGGAGTCCTGAATATGGGCAAAGGACAGGGATTGGGGGATCTGGAGTAGCCATTGGCACAGATGGAGATGATGGGGAGGGCATTGCACAGCTGTGGGCTGAAACCTCAGCTTAACCTTGGCTTTCTTAAAATCACAGAATCATCAAGTCCAAWTGTTAACMCAGCATGGCCAAGCTACCACTAAACCATGYCCCTAAGCATCACATCTACACTTTTAAAAAATCCCTCCAGGGACAGTGATTCTACTACATCCCTGGATAGCCTGTTTYRATGCTTGATAACYYTTTCAATGAMGAAAYATTTCCTAATCTGATCTAAACCTTCCCTGGAGCAACTTGAGGCCATTTCTTCTTGCCCTGTTGCTTGTTTTGTGGAAGAAGAGACTCACRTCTCATTACAACTCCTCTCAGGTAATTGTAGAGAGCAATAAGATCTCCCCTAAGGCCAGACAAGTCCCCATRTCTGCTGTCCCAAAGGCAGGTGAGAGGGTCTGGAGAGCAGAGGGGCAGGGAGGTGACATCACAACAGACAGTGGGGCTGGCAGATGTCAGTGGCACTGGGTGATGAAAAGCTCAGCCTCTCCTTCCCCT